TTCTTTCTTTCTTTCTTTCTTTCTTTCTTTCTTTCTTTCTTTCTTTCTTTCTTTCTTTCTTTCTTTCTTTCTTTCTTTTTCTTTCCTTCCTTCCTCCCTCCCTCCCTCCCTCCCTCCCTTCCTTCCTTTTGTTTTGGAGGGGGCTTTGTAAAAGGTAGATGACACATTCTTGCATAGTGTTTTAAGGTCCTCCCATCATTCTGGATATTTCTGGATCTTGGAGTTGGAGGCTGAGAAAGCCACTGTTCAGTAGCATACTGTTACCAAGTATGCTTTCCTTAGGTAAATAATCCTTTTATTTGCGTTTTCAGCATTTTGTGGCTTTGAATAAAAAGCCTAAGTGAGTCAGAGTAAGACATGAGTGAGACTGTGGTCGGAGTGCATGTGGCCTGTCACTCTCCCTGATGTGACGCTTGCCAGCAGGCCTGAGCACTTGGTCTGACTTCTGCTAATGTACCTTCCACCCTCACCAGGACAGGAATTGTCAGTGATGACGTCAGACTACTTGTATAAGAAGAATACGAACAATTCTGAGTCTTTCCTTAGTGCGGTCTGGTTACCAGTAAAGGAACGTCATTGAATTTTAGATTTCTGAGGAGGAGGTGATCTCAAACACAAGTGTTCTTTCTGTAGTGGGTGTCATAGAGCCCTTTGTTCACTGATAGCTCGTGCTGGTCGTGGAGAGCTGTGGGCTGAGGTGCATGTTCTCTGCCAGCTGCTTCAACTCTCTTCCCTGAAAACATTTACAGACATGTAGCTCTTTAATACGTTATACAGCGCCTTAGTTGTTATATTGGCAGAATGAGGTCAAACAGCTAAATATGTTGTTCACTTTACTTCTGGTGGAATGCAGGAGGGAAATGAAGTACTGTGTTTTCCTAATGCTGTGTTCTTTTGTTATTCCTTCTTCTTCTCCAGGCATTGAGTGTTACTGAGACCCTGATTAAACCCTTGGAAAAATTCAGAAAAGAACAACTCGGAGCTGTAAAGGTTGGTGTCTAATTTGAGCACACTTGTAAACAGAACGTGCTGGCGCCTTAGCTGCTGCTGTATTCTTTATTCACATTTGGCAGCGTGGCGGGCTTGCTGGGGAGACCATCTGTTGTTTGATGTTTTAAATGCACTTTTCCCCTTGGGGGAGGCGAAATTGAAAACAAAACAAAAACACCTGGATGGGGAGTAAAACAGCTAGTCATCTCCTTTGGCTAAACCTTTCCAGGGAGCTTCAATTTCCCCCTGATAGAAAGGGCTTTGCTGTAGTCACAGCCGTGTGTGCACGCTTCTCTGCTGTAGTCACAGCCGTGTGTGCACGCTCCTCTGCTGTAGTCACAGCCGTGTGTGCACGCTTCTCTGCTGTAGTCACAGCCGTGTGTGCACACTTCTCTGCTGTAGTCACAGCCGTGTGTGCACGCTTCTCTGTTGTAGGAGAACTGTGACTGTGCCAGGCTTCGACTAGGGACTCTGCTCCCACAGGATGTCGTGGAAACTAGGAAGAGGTTGTTGGGATGTGATTTCCCTGACTCTAGCAAAAATTTATTGAGCTTCTATTATGTGCAAGTGTTTATTGTAACAGTGACCTGCAGCTGCACAGTGAAGGATCTGGGTCGTAGCCAGGATTTCCCGGAATAATACAGCAAGCAGCTTTGCCACAGCAGTCTGAATGTATTTAGCAACTTCTAGAGTTCGTGATCTCAGCCTTGAAGTTAACCTAGCAAAATAATTTCCACCAGTCTTTGTCTTTTTTAATGTGAGGGAGAAGAAGTACCCTTTGTGTCTTGTTGACCATTCTTGGCCTAGACCAAAGAGAAGAGAATAACTCATTTTAAGTAGGGAAGAGAACTGTCTTGTTTGCCACTTTTCATAGGTAGAAAAAAATCAAAATCCTTTGGAACAAGTAAACCTTGTACCTCAGTAGCTGTGACTGCACAGTAGGCCCAGCACACTCCAGTATTCCTGTTTGCTATTTATAGACTCCTTCCTCCTTTAAGTGCTTTGTCATACTGGTATTTTTATTTGGTCTGATAATGTACTGAAAGACTGTAAATTGAGGATAGTGGGGGTCTGGGGGTGCCCCACCCCTCTCCTGATAGTAAATGAGCTGCAGCAGCCTCAGCAGCTTCCTGCCTGCAGCAGCTGATCGCATGCACCTTCCCACTCTTGGACAAATCCTTGCCTTACCTGTCCAGTGAAGGACCTGGTGTCCTGCTTTCCTCTGGTGTGTCTTCTAGTTGAGGCTTGAACATGCTTCTGTGTCATTGGCAGGCACTACATGCTTACAGCATTCAGTTAATGCTTTCATTAGATGGTGGGTGAGGGAGGGCAGGGGCTGTATTGCCCTAATGCAAGCGACTTAACCAGTACAAGGCTTATGTTTTATTGTCCATTTGCCCCGCAAGGTTTTGTACATTTCTTCCTTCTGTCAGTGCCTTTCCTGGCTTCAGGCTTCCTTCATATTCCCTCTTGTTTGTTCAGTGAAGCTACTTGCAAAATAAGCAGCCCCTTAAAGAGGGAGAGATTCCTACAGTGATGTAGCGTATGACTCAGGGTGGGTAGTGACCAACCACTACCTGGAAGGCCCTTTGATTTACAGTTTCAGTGTGTTTCTGGCAGTCGGTTTTGAAGGATTTAGCTCCATTCTTGGTGAGTACAGTATATGGGGTTGCACTCTTGTCTATTGATGTCCCTGGAGAAACCAGATGGGACCCTGGGAGAACTCCCCCTTTTAATATAATAAATAGAGGTGGTTGCCTCTATAATGTAGTAACACAGAAATGGCGATCTCTTGCATCACACTGTTAAATCTTTCAAAGACCGTGCATCATTTTTCTTTATCCTCCAGAATTCTCCACCTTGCCTTTTGGTAGAAGATGTCTAGAAAAGAGCTTATTTGGTTTATAATAATTCTGTAAGAACCAAAGAGGAACTTGCAGTTTAGGTACCTGCTCACATGCGCACGTGTGTGTGCGTGTATGCGTGCATGCGTGTGTGTGTGTGTGTGTGTGTGTGTGTGTGTGTCCCTGTGTGCATGTCTGCTTCCTGGACACCCAGTCCTGTTTTGACAAGCACAGACTTGTGTTCCGTTGCAGTGTGCTTTAAAAAAACTTCAACTCTTAGTTGGCAGCCTTTTTGACAAACACCGTGGAGCAGTTTTCGTGTGGAGATGAAAACAGCACATTTAGAATTGACCACATCAGAGTTTTTAGACGTCATTGTCAGCGTTTAGCTTCTCTCCTCTCCCCCTTTTCCCGCGTGCTGATTTCACCCCGTGTGCTTTTCTGTGGAGCTCTTGGTTCCCTCTGTGTCTGCCTTCTCTAGTTTCTAGAAGCCTTAATTACACGTTGAACTATGGTGTAAGTGTAATCTAAGTTGCTAGGTGGTTTTTGTAAATTGGATTTTTAAAAACCTCCGAGGAGCTCCTGACGATTCTGTTGTTTTGATGTGCCTGCCTTGAGTCATGTCTGCTGGGTTTGGGCTTGTTTCTGTTTTGAAGGCTCTTCTGTGTTTTCCTGTGTGCCTGCTGGAGTCAGACCCCGGGTCCTGGCGCTTGGGGCTGTGCTGCAGTGCTGGTGGAGTTTACTCAGGGTTGCTTCGTTTCTGAACTTGTTCCCACTCTTCCCTTTTCTGTACAGTGTTGGCTTTTATCTGCAGTGCGCCCAGCACCTTAAAAGCCATCGCTCACTGGAGGCAAAGTACAGTGAGTAAAATGTGCAAGGACCAGTGGGGAATCTAAAATTGTTTTCTCAGACACCTCCAGTCGGGCCATAGTGCAAACTGGGTCTAGAACAGTAGCAGCAGTGTGTTAAGTGTCAAACAGATGCCACTAAGCTGTCCTGACCATTATAAGACAGCCTCGGAGAGAGCAGAGTTTGATTTTACCCAGTAGACCCAAACTTTTAACACAAGACGTGAAACAAACGTTTGCTTTATTATTGTGACTTCACACTTCACCCCAGGACCAAACTTGCAGTCACATTTAGAAAGCATTTCTTTCTAAGAATATGTCTAATGAGCATACTTAATAAAAACTGACTGGCCCAGATTGTGTAAATAACTGCAGAGCATGAGTTGAACCAAACCTCCCTGAGTAGCTTATCATGTCAGGTGGTTTGGAAAAGCAGAGTGTTGCTTTAATTTAATCCTGTTACTTTTCCTTTGCTTATAAAGCACATATCTGTGCCTATCACACAGCAAATTAACACACTGCCTGGCCTTCAGCAAGGCTGTGGGAGAGTCAGAGACGGGAAAGTGGTGGGATACGCTGAGCTGAGGTCTGAGCTGAGGTCTGAGCTGAGGTCCGAGCTGAGGTCTGAGCTGAGGTCCGAGCTGAGCGCTGAGCTGAGCGCTGAGCTGAGGTCTGGGATCTACCCAGATGGCTGTGGCACACACTCGGCCCCTGCAGGGAGACCACCCCAAGTGAACTGTGATTTGGGACCAGCTCCTCCAGGCGCTGTTCCTCACTTTCCCGGTCTGACTCAGAAGGGGATTTCCAGAATTAAAAGGACCTTGAAATACCCACTGCGTGTCAGGTCTGGGGCCGGATGCTCATGGTTGCAGTTGCTGCCTTCCTACTTGTGGTTTACTCTCCATCACTTGCAAAAAAGAATTGCTTAGGTTTTTAATCCACTCTTCATTCTGGATTGACAGTGATTTGTCCGCAAACACTGGTTAGGTGAATCTACAGCAGGTATTCAGGTGCCGTGTGGCTCTGGTCAGTGTTGGGGCCTGCGATACTGTGCTGGCCTACTCATTTGTCCTCTGACAGCTGCATGAGGGGCCAAACATCGGATTGGGGTAGGGGCAGGGGAGTGACTTCTCTCTTTAGAAAGGCTAAAGGCAGTTGAAGGAGGATTGTAGATGGGGCTGGGTAGCTCATTGGGATGCCAAATGTGAATAGAGGACAGGAGAAGTTAAGGGAGGTATACACACTTGTGTACACACACACACACACACACACACACACACACACACACACACACTCACTCACTCACTGAGTGGGAAAGAGTTGCTTCCTGGAAGTGGGTCCGACCCAGCAGTAAGATGTTGTTAGAGCTTGGAGCTGGAGCATGGGGTCAGAGCCAGCAGGATCCTGCTTAGGGGGAGTGTGTAGGGAGGGGCTGGGGACTGTTTAAAGAGGTCCCTTGGTGATTGCTGCCTGTCTTTGTGTCCTGTGTCCTGTGTGGAGTGTAGTTCCCCTCCTTATTAAGTAAAAAGAGAAGAACTGAAATCCCCTAAGGAGGTGTTTAAATCATCTAGACTACTCAAACATTGAATGTTATTTAATGTGTACAGCTGGAAAGGAAAACCTGTTTCCCAAGAAAAGTTGTAAAATGTAGACAACTACACAAAGATAGTCATATTAAAGTGAACATAATTAAAAAAAAATCTTCCGTCTTCAAAAAAAACCAAAAACTCTGGTGTGATTTACAGATACGTGCATGTTTTTTATTATTTTTTCCTGTTTTCATGGAAGTGTGAAAATAGTCCGACGCCTTTGAGTTGAGAATGTCTGATCCGCTCTGACGCTGGCTGCCCTGATGTGATGTCTACCCCTTTAGCTGGAGCGCTGTCCACGTTTTGGAACTCTGGAGTATCTCTTTGGGCTTCTGCCTGTTGTTTGCTTAGGTGGTGTGTGTTTTATTTTAAGATCTGATGACAATCTCTTTATTATAGCTTCATTTTTAACTCGTGACTTTTTCAGCCCATCTGGAATTAATTTTGATATGGGTGGGGCTCTGTTTCTGTTTCCCAGTTAAATAGTTACAGCAATCCCACTAATTAAATAATGCATTTTAAAATGGTGTGCTTTCTGCAGGGACCTTTGTATATATTTTTTTCTTTTTCTTCCTTCCTTCCTTCCTTCCTTCCTTCCTTCCTTCCTTCCTTCCTTCCTTCCTTCCTTCCTTC